GGAATATGAAATATTTATTCAAAATAAACTATTTTGGACACTGGCAATCCATTATCAGTAATGCCCTCACTTTGCTGGACAAGCCTAATTTTCCAACATGATATGTTTCTCTACACACATGCAGTTTGCAAGGGTGTTTTGTGTAATTCAAAGTGCCACAAGAGTTTAGACTGTTACAACAAATGATTGAATACAGAAAGATATTTCAGTAAAATAATTCCTAAACATAAAATAAAATAAATATATTCAACATAAAAAACTTTTATTTTGTTATTTAGAATTTCTACAGTAGCCTCATTTAATCATTTAAGACATTGGCCAAGAGCAGCTGGTCATTAGCAATAATGTCTTGCTAAAATTTAATATTTTTTATTTTTGTAATTATTTCAGACACTAGCCAAAATTCCTGGCCCATTACTGATAATGAGCACATTTCAGGTTTCAGTTATACACTAGCGGTGGAAAAGTAATATTTAACTTAGAAAAATGTGTAAACATTGCTAACAATGAGAAATAAGCTAATGTTTGAGCATAATTTAAATTTTCATGTTTCTGATTTACTATAATAATATGATTTTTGAAGAGATTTAAAAGTGCTCTGTTTATTTTGCTCAAAGCCTGATAACTATTCTGTTGACTGACATGCATCATACTGAAAAAGCAATAATTAAAACCTCACTCAGAGAAGAATAAAAATAATCTTTCTTTGAATTTATATACATGTAGTCAAACTATTCTTTATAATATTACAATTAAGCAGCATTTTCCATTACCTATATCTTTGTTATGAAAATTTATTTATACACATATATGTGAAAGGTTATGATTTTTCAGAAACTTCTTGGCCTATACTATTTTCAATAATTTGTTATGACTCATAAAAACCCTAAATGCTTAGCTTATACTTCAATATTTCTTACCTCCACCAATAGAACCAAGGAAAAATCTGTATACACTTTCTAGGATCTGAATGCTCACATTTCTGTCAGCTGCACTCTAACTCAGAATAAGAAAGGTAAAGCTGAACTAATTATTAAAGCATGGATAAAAAAAAGCATATGAAATCAATTAATTAGTACTAGCATCTTACAAAAAAACAACAACAACAGTTATTACCTTAAACCTGCAAACATAAAAAATGTGTATGATAAAAGCAACATGGCAATACTTTCGTTTTTCTTAAAACATTACATACTCCTAGATTTAGTTCTGAATTTTAGTTTATTTACACTTCAAGGAAATTTTATCATTGTCCATTTTTGTTCCCTATTTCATTCCATTTCCATGCATTCATACTCTTCCTTTCATACCACTTTATCTATTACTTAGCTTGTCATTCTTTTCTCATGCTGTCTTAGTTACCATTTATAACTGAGAGTGATTTATTAGAAAATTTTATAATTTTTACCAAATGAGTCAAATACCAATTTGATGTGTACTGCCATCTGGTCAAGAATGCAATCACAGCCAAATTACATTCAGAAGAAAAAGCTCATAAAAGAAAACAAAGTAACCTGTTATCGGAGAATTTCATATACCTGCATTACTTAAGAAAACAAGCCTTATCGGATCTTTATAGAATAATTCATTCAGTGTCAAAACTACAGAAGGAATGTAGAAGGGCTACTAACTAGCTACAAATGGGATCGGGTTAAATAAAGAAAGGCTATAGTTTGTTAACTGAATGGCTTATGAATACCTACAGCCTTTTTACAGAATAACTAAAACAAATGGTTAAAGTAGTAGCTACAGAATATTTAAGGAAGAGGTATACATTTTCTATTGAATAGCTATACATTTACTTTAGAGGGGTTGTAGCATTTCCACTGAATAACTGCAGATTAACTATTAAAGAAATATAGCATTTCTGGTAAATGACTAGTGACTGACTTTGAAGGGCTATAGCATTTCTATTGAATGAGTGCAGATTAACTATGACACTTCTACAGAATTGTTACACATTTATTATAGAAAGGTTATACAATAAATAAAAAAAGATTCAAGTCTGTCTATACATTAACTATAGAAATGCTATAGCTAATGATTCCAAAAAAACTACAGACTTTCCATAGCCTTATAGAATGACTATTTTTTTTTTCTATACAATGGCTAGAAGCATTTTTGGAAGAGATTTAAAATTAGTGGTATTCTTGATGAACAAAAGAAATAATAATTTACTTACTTCAACAGCTTTAACCTCTGCAAATGGTCTAAATAAAATTTTGGCATAACGCTGAGAAGCAATTTTTTCTAAATCGTGATATATTACTCTCCTATAAAAGATTGAGAAAAATTCAAATCAGACACAGGTAACCTTATGCGCACTTTAATTCTGTAAATTTAATCATCTATACATGTAATTTAATAATTATGTTCTCAGCTGGATGTATTTTAATTTATTTAGAAGCTTAAAGCTTATAACAGAACAAAATAAGTATGAAATATTATGCACAGACAAGTACAAGAAAGCTAAAAAAAGAACATCAAAGAGTCATTTTAGTAAGTGCTTCAGACCAGTGATGACAGAATGGCATATTAATTCAACCTTTACAAGAAAAGCATGCATTATTTGCCTGTCACACGTAGCTTGAGATTGTTTTGAAAATTATTGGAATAATTTAGAAACATAATAAAATTATAATTAGCTTTACAATACAGAAAGAGAAGAACCTCAATAAAATAATCACGATATAAAAACTTTAATGTTACAAGAATAAAACTTCAGTTCTTAAAATTCAACAAGTACAAAACAATAATGAAAAATTTTCAAGTTCATAACAATGATCTTTAAAACATGAAGCAAGTTATTCAAATATTAAGACCTGTTATTGGCATTCAAGTTAACATTCTGAATAATATGATTCTTAAAAATTATCAGTTGGTTTTTTGAGGACTGAAAATTGATGATTCATATTTGTTTGAATAATTTGTAATCATGCATAAGTGTATGTGCAATATATTTAACTTACTGATTTTAAAAGTTAATAGATATATGCTACAAATCAATCTATAGAAGTAGTAATACTAGCTTTGATGATTATAAATTGTTATAACTCAAAGTGGGTTTTGAATGTTTTACAAAAAAGTAACTTCAGGACTTCTATAAAGGAATAAAGAAACAAATAAAATTTTGTTGTTTAATTTATCAATTCACCTTCATGAACTATGTATACATGTATAGCTGTAGAACTGACTTACCACATGAAAGAGAAATCACAAAATTTAGAAAATAACTGAAAATCCTTTGAGAAAAACTTTTTGTTTTTATTACAAGACATACCCAGTTTGTTGATGAAGAAATCCTGACAACTGAAAAAGAATCTCTACTTCCATTGGAGTCAATGCTGATATCTGCTGGGCAGCATAGAGAAATTCCTCTAAATAAAGTATAAATATGTGTTAGTTTGCATTTTTCTCAAAAACACATTTCTCTTTCAACTTCAATTTCTGTCTTTTACACTCACATAATAATCATGTTTTTTTAACAGGTGAGAAGTATTAAAACAAGTTTATTTACTGATAATAAGTGTATTGCACATCAAGTGATACACTTCAAATTTTTATATTCACTAATTAATAAATACTTTTGGTTACTTATGAATCATATTTCCTGCTGAGCTAAGATAAGGACAATTGATTTATACAAGTTTTCTTAACTATATATTAATTTTGTTCCAGTCACAATTGTATAATTTAATTTTGAATTAATTTTTTTCACAGGTTTTCTTTTTTATATTTCTTCTAAGTTAATGTGAAAATGTTCAAGTTCTTACTAATTAGGTTTAGAGTATATGATTGTGTAGAATTTATAACAATTACAATTTAAGAAAAATTTTAGCCTGATTAAAGGAGACTCAGAATAACTATTTGCAAATTGTAATTTATTGGTTCTGAAAATAATTTATAAATTTAAAAATGTTTTAGTAATTAACTTTTTTTCATGTGTAAAATTTAATGACATTGCAATTAATTAAAATAAAACCAACCTTTGGTTACTTCCTGATTCATATTTCCATTAGTAAAGTTAAGGTAGATTCTTTTAACCAGTTCCATATTGTTTAAAAGACTGTTGAATGCCATGAAATATGGGAATGTAACCATATGTCCTTCAGTAGCCTATAGGACACAAGAGTTTAGCAAGAACTATTATGATGATGATATGTACAAGAACACACACTATAGAAGTTACATGCATCCTCTGTACAGCTTGAAATAAACACTATAAAAAAAATAACAAAGAACAACTGAAAACAATCCTTAATTATCAACATGTATGGATGTATTTCAGAAACCACAATAGCTAAACTAAAAATACTGGTAAGCTATATAATTTAACCACATACTGAAAAACATTCTCATATGTATATTTTGTGTTTATTTATTATTAAACTACAAATAACCTGTACATATAAAGTTATATAAAGCATGACAAAAATACATTACATTATCAAAAATATGTACAATAAATACAATAAACATTTCAAGACCACCAGTTACTGTGTTTCTGGATAACATTTTGAACTTTAGGTAAGTATTTACCAATATGGTTGCAATAAAACACCCATAACATGGTAATTCATATTCATGCAAATAATTAACAATCACTATATCAATGTATTACAATTTTATTAAAAAACACTAGTTAAAATTGAGATACAAGTGTCTACACCTATTGAAATAATGTTTGATTGTTAGTTATTCTGTTAATATTAGTTACAATATATTTATTTAATATCACAAACATTAATTTGCTACTGTGTTTATAGTTCTTTTCTAAAATTTTCAGATAGCAAAATTATTTTTAATTCCTTCATTTATCATAACATACAAAATATTTTTTCAATGCAACTATAATCTGATCTTTCTAGTCAAGTGTAAACTCAATCTAAATGTTATTTTCATAAAATACAAGTTGTAGATCCATTGGATTGATACGATATACACTGAATAAAAATGAAACACACAACAATTTCCAAACAAATGGGCCATCTAAGCCAACCTGTTCACTAAGGTTAGCTCATTTAAACAGAGGGTAGTAAAAAAAAAACTGTTTGAATATCACATAGAATAATGTGACTAAAATTAAATTAATCTAGAAATAAAGTGCTACAGAGTTAGTAGTCTCTTACCCATTATCATAAAATAGATTAGATTAGCATAAAATAGGATAATAGCTATAATTCACTATAATGCAAATATAACATTTAAATGAAAATATTTCTCATTAGATTTGCCAAACAGTGAAACAGCTTTTCCAAGTTCATTATTATTCTATTTTATAACTTCCAATGTATACACTTTAAAAACCATTTCTTGTTCTAGTTTCTTTTGTTTAACTTTGAGAACTTCCCAATTTTTGTTCTCTTTCTTAGTATTCGCACAAAATGCGGTTTATCAATACTTACATCAAGTTGTTGATAGACATAATGTTCATCACTTGCATGTTTGTTTAGAAACTATTTTAATGAAAGTGGTAAATTGTTATAATTATTAAAACACCAAGTTGATACTACTATATAATCAGTCATTAAATTGATCTTCAAGTATTATAATTTCTTTTTTAATTTTACTACCAATATTACAAATAATAAAAGAAAAATACTTACAGCAACTAAATTCTGTTTCACACTTTCTGTTAACAAGTGGCTTTTTACTGATATCATTATATCATTGAAGTCTAGTGGAGTAATGGTACCAATCTTCTTCTTGTCATAGCGTCTAAAAGCTTGGACAGCATGCTCCTCATGAAAATCCTTTAAAAGTCATTAAAAACACACATTAGTTGTTACACTACTGCAACGTCCATGAAGAATGTTAGAAAAATTTAGTATATACTCCTTAATGTTAAGATTTACTATATAATAAGACTTTATCACTGGCAGAAGGAACTATGAAAAAAAAGAAAGAGGTCTCAAATACGTTTTTTGAACATTTTTAACCCATTGACTGCTGATTCGCTGTATAGTGTACAGTCCATCTCTGGCAGTTGAGTGTGCCATATATGGTGTAAGGGTTGCAAAAATTCTGCACATGTTTAGAGCAACTGCAGTCAATGGGTTAGTTCCCACTAATGACATTATCCCACATACAATCATGTTATACACTACTAAATATTGCATGACATTAAACAGGATGTATATGTCAGTCTGACTTTCAATATATCTAAGCAGTAGGAATTAAGTGTTGTAACCTTGTTCATTTGATGGGCAGATTCTTTTAAAAATTATCTGGTGAAAAACAATATGATGGTCCAGTCAATGTAATAATAAATTATTTTATTTTTTTTCTTAGTGTTTCTACAAGATGTTTAATTTGTACACTATAACTTGTAGGTGTAAGTTTACAAATGAAATTCAAATGAAATATTTCTCTAATTAAACTACAACTAACATAAAAATAAACTTGTACAATTTCATGGCAAACTGACTGAGTAACTAAATATATGCAATAAAATTACTAACAATGATCCACATACTTCACTGACACTCTACCAACTGAAAACAAAACTGATTCACTGCTAGCGTATTAATTGACTGATTCTCAAGTATTTATATCTAAGCCTTTTTCTAGATATCTTGCAAGGTTGCTCAATATCATTACATCACTATTACAAACAGCAGCTCCCTCTAACAAAAAACTACAGCATTGAAAATAGAGCTTACAACAACAGTTTGACTATAGTCTATTTTCTGAATGGTAAATTCCAGAATCCACACAACTATAAAGTGCAACTTGAGAAGATTAACATCACCAACAAAAATCAACAAATAATATATTGCTCTTTTATGATAATCCCAGGATATGAGAAACAGTAAACTACCAAGGTGAACATTATCAGAGAAAACAAGTTTACGTCAAGAGTGGCCAATAATCATTCATCACATCACTACTGGCAAATTACACTTACGAATAAGTGACAACAGTACTGAATGACATAAATATTTGCTAATGTAAAAAAACAAACAAACATCAAAAGCATGTCAATGAGTAGCCTTGAACTACAAACATTTAAACTATGATATCTGAAAGTTTTATCTATTTCCATATCCAATGCCAAACTTACATTTCCTCTTGCATAACTGTTTTATGAATATGTGAGACAAGTACATTATTTTGTGAATAAAGTTATGAAAAATAACAGCTCTATTTCAATTTCATTTATAATTAAAATAAAAAAGACTAATAAGCACAACAATTTTATTAATGATGCATTTAAAAAACATAACACATTAAGTAATTGTTTCATTTTATTTTCATTCAAATCAAAAACATCTACAAATCTGTTGAAATATGATGTTACAGACACCTACATTATTTTAAAATGGTGAAGATTTCCAGTTACAGCAAAATTTTTTTTTCTTTTTGTTAAGATTGTTCATAGTTTATTATACAATTGACAGTGTGTTCATATCTTTGATATATACTTTCCAACGTTATATCATACACCTTGTTAAACAGGCAAAATTCTGGTTGTGGCCAATATGGAACTGCCACTAACTAAGCTTCTATGATATGAACCTTTTTCATATCAAAACCAATACATTGTTCTTTAGTAGTCATATGTTAAAAATTTAATAATATACTTTTTCGAATTAACCACATTCTTCAGTAATTGTTTTAGCATTATTTGATTTTCTCATTAATATCTTAGAAAATATGAGTCCCAGTTTTCTCCAAAAAAAGATATACAAAAGTGAAATATGTTACCTGTTTTGGATTATAAGATTTATTGCAAAGAGCTCACAAAAACAATGAAGTCTACTACACTTAACAGTATGTAGGATAGGCCTAAACTCTTACAAAATTTTATAAATTCAAGTAATGTTTTTTCTAAATATGTTACTTTATGAGACATGTCAACTTAAGAAAGAAAGAAAAGTTTTATTTGTATGTGTCCTCATTTTTATATCATATATAAAAACTTATAGACTGAGGGAACTAACATCACTACTTGGACACATTATTTACATCTAAACTGTTGAAAATATTGCTAACCTCTTCTTTATTATAGGAGAGTATTTCTATTCCCAAAGACCTTATGGGTATTTTTAATAAAAGTTTTTTCACACTGAATCCAATGATATGTTGTTTATAGTTATAGGCTCTTTCTTCAATATAAAATACAAAAATCAATGAAATCTAATTTCTGATATTTTTTTAATATCCTATTTTCCTGGTTCCTGGTAATACAAAATGATTCTTAATTAATATGAGGATTGTTTTTTTGTTGAATTTTGCACGAAACTACCTGCACTAATTGTCCTTAATTTTGAAGTGATGGAAATGGGGAGGAGGCAACTAATCAACATCATCCACCATCAATTCTTGGGCTTCTCTTATTGGACTGAATAGTGGGAGTTGACCATCACTTTTATATAGTGTGAAAAGTTATATCTTTTTTTACAGTAATGGGGTATAAACCATGGAATCTCAGTTTCACAGTATGGCATACAAACTAATTAGTTGTGCATAGCCTTTAATACGAGGAAACCAAACGAAGTTTGGGTTTTAGCTTAATTGTTATAAATGTGCTGTTTTTGCTGCTTTGTGTATGTGGATATAAATATTATTGTATAATATATATAGATATTTGTGTGTAGTTATAATGCTTGGAGTAAACTCATGTCTTAATGATCAGTTATAAATGCTTGCATAAAATTTGACTAGGGCAAAACTGTTTTTTAACTGAGGTAACAAGTATTAAGAACAAGAAGTTAACATTTTGAAGTGCAATGTAAGTTTTTACAAATAAATAAATAGCATTGTTTCCAGACCTACGAATTCCTGCAAGCAAAATGACATTACAATCACACAATTCAGTGCATCTTTACATGAAAATCACATGAAACAGTACATCTTTACATTTCATGTTAGAAGTACCTCTGAGTTTAAAGAGCCAATGGCTTTAAACCATATGAAATGAGGAACATTTAATCAGTGACAAATAATATTTGTAAGCTACAAGGAAATAAAATGTCACAAAATGATGAAAGAGAAAAAATACTTTAACACAACTACCCAGCCAGATAAATGAGAATTTCAGCTCAGCTGCATTAACATGCATTTTAAACATTCTCACACAAAGCATCTCTAAGAAATACACAGCTGTATAAAATCAGAGTAAAATAACAGCTAATTTAACCAGGATATGTAGGGAACAAAGACCAGAACTTTGGAATGCTGGATTTAATCAGCCCATACAATGAAGACTATCAATGACTGTGATAGAGGATATTCATGTACAGTATATCAGTGAAGGGTAAAAATTATTTTCCGATTAAGAAGCAATAGTCTCTTTGTGTGGATAACAGGCAGAGATAGTGGTGGTCTTGGCTCCAGTATAAGAAACAACAAACTTTACACCTAGAAGTATCTGATACTAACACCACAACATAATACTTAAAAATAATATTCACACCTATTTCAAAACTTGGAAATCTCTTGTATCAAAAATTGTTCAATGTCATAATGGGCATAAAATATAATATTTCAGCTGCAATTTTTCAAGTGTTAATATTTGATAATATTTATCCCATTTTTATAATTCTGACCAGCTGTTAAGAGGCAATAAAACAGAGTTATAGAAATTATTTTTTGCCATCTCAATAGCCCCTTGGCCTTTCAGGTGTTAAACATTCTGAAAGCAGTAGCAGTTTCTTAATTAAATAATCATATTTAAACAGAAAAAACGCTAAAAAGTGAGAGATGGGAATGTCTTTCTTCAGCATAATTTTCATGCAAATTCAATAATTTTCTATTATACATGTACATAAATAAACACCTAGAAGATATATATTGGTATTAAAAATAAATTTGGAAAATTTTAAAAACATTCTATTATTTTATTTACTTTGTATATTAATTAACAACCAGTAAAATGTACACTTCAAAACATTAAGTTTTCTATTTGGAAATCAGAAGCAATGGTAGCCTGTTAGATGTATATAAAGTTTGTTGGAAATACAAGACTGTTTAGTTTAAGAGTTATTATTTAGTTTATTTAGTGATTTAATATTTAATGATTATTTAATTTTCATAACAAGAGTATTAAAAATTAATTATTTTAAAAGTGATAGTTATGACAAGCTTCGTTATGTAACTCTGTATGTGTCATACGTTGCGTATGCAGTTTGATTATTGTACTAGGCATTTGTAATACTGTTAATGTCATTTTATTCAAAGCTTCTAAGTTTTTCTCCTTATGTGAATATTATTGTCACTAGAGGGCTAGATATTTCTAGATTTTTCCTTCACATGTTACAAATACATAGTGAAAGTTAAATTAGTGAAAGTAAGATAAATTTAGTGAGATATAGATCAAGAATGTGTTTGGAAGTTTAGCCATAAAGGGTGTATGGTGGCAACTTTTAAAATGTAATAATCACAGATTGTATTGTAATAACAGAGTAGAGAATAATAATTTGTCTAGTCAATTAGATTCTAAAATAACTGAACCTGCCTGTGCAGACTTTTGACATAAAAGAGAAAAATTTAAAGCCTGTATACAATTGTGATAACCCATGTGATAACAGAGTGGAGGAGAATAATTTGTCTTGTCAAAGGGTGTTCTAAATTAATTGAACCTGCCTGTGTGGACTTTGATGAAAAAAAAAAAGACAATTATTAAAAGTTCTAGATACAACTGTGATAATCAATAGTGTTATAAAGTTTTGTACATATGTTTTAACTTGTTTTGAATATATTATTTTAAAACAAATGGATCGTGTGCTGTCCATTTATTGTTCAAATTTATCAGCAACAAGTCACAAACACCTACCGAAAAGAATTTGGCCCTATAAAAACCTGACAAAGTTGAAGAAACAAAAATAATGATTCTGTCTTTCATTATTTAATAGCTAAATCATGAATGATAAAACTTTTTGTGTTCAATCCATACTTATGAGCACTAAAACATATTTCAGGTAACATTTTCTGATTTATGAAAGATCATTTTCAAAGAATCTGCTGTGCAGCACAAATGATGATAAATTTTCCTTACAAACTTCAGGTTTCTTAATTTCATGTCTATATTTTGATATCTAATTATTGATGGACAGAAAACGAACTGGGAACAATTCTGCTTTGTTCATTAATGTAAACACAAAACCATTCTCATAATCTTCTTCACTCACATTCTTCAGTGACATTAGTTTTTATATGTAAGTTTCATGCTTTCTACTGTTCTTTTATGTATAATAATTCAGCTTTTACTATTTCATACACATTTCAATTCTCAAGATTTTATTAATAAAGTGTATGTTTATTTTCTTTCTCTTTGATATATATTCATCCTTTCAACAATTAAACTTGAGATTAGCAGGGCAAAAACTTACATCTACTAAAGAGGTTTGTTATCACATATTACTGTGTGCTGTATGCATAGCAGTGTATAACATAAGTTATCCCCTTAAAAAGAAAAATGATTAGCAATAGCAAAAAACTGAGCCAAAACGATCAAGATAATGTTTAAACTAAGCTTATGATTGTGGTGCTTTCCTTCAGCAAATATGCATAAAACATTCAAGACATGATAATACAATGTAAATTTGTCTTTTTTTTTACATTTTAAATAATACTTCATATTAATAGTCATATGTTTACAGACTTTGTGATGTGAAGAGAAAGCGAGCCTAAATAAACCAAACTTACATGAAGAACTTGAGAAAATTCTGTATAGGAAACAGTACGCTTTCGATTGTCACCAAAATGTAATCTCATAAATTCACCTTTGAAGTCAAATGGAATCTTCTCATGCAGTGTAGTGTAACCCACAATTTCTTCAAATTCATCTGAAAAATTTAATACAGAAGTAAAAAATCTGTTTTCTGGGTTAAAAGCTCATAAATAAACAACACTATTTTCACTCTTTATATTTCATAAAGTCCTGATCCTCTCACATAACTTTTCTGCTTATGTTATTTAAATTACTCAAGCACATGCGATTAATGACAGGTTTGAATATATATTTACAGTTAATAATGCAGTATATAGAGTTCTACGAGTTAATAATAAAAATATTTATATATATATATACAAATAAAAAAATTAAAGACCCAAATTTGCTGTATGGTGTGATATACCTGCACTTAGTTTGAAAAACACAAAGGATTTTAAATTTTTATCAGAAATGGATGTCAGCTGTGACAAGTGTGAGCATTTATATTAAAAAATGAATAGCATTTCTATATAAACTTATTACAATAAAGCAAGGAAAAAACAAAGTTCACCTGTGAGAGAGACACAGGACAAATGGACACAATAAATAACTACATATAAAATGAAGATTGTATTTCATTAATACATATTAAAACAATTACATTCATCAAAAGTTAATATTTTTCCACGTTACACATAGAAAATTTGCACAGATTCATTTTTATTTCATTAAAAATTACATTCTGCACAGTTTAAACAGAGAAAATAAGTATTCTTTGAAACAATAATTTTAATTTTTAATAATTCATAGCAAAAAATCTGTGGTTTATTTAATGTTACAGAATAACAAGCAGTGTAAAAACTACATTAAAGCCCAATGACAATTCATGTATAAATGTGTTTCATTTGTATGGAAAAATAAGACATATCTTATAACATGTTAGTAAGGATCAAAATTAAACAAAAATTTTTCATATACTATATTTATATTTTCAAGCTCTCGTTTTCTTCTGGAGCAGAAACTTTGCAAAATTAAACGATGTAATAATTACAAGTCTATAGAATTATCTCAAAAAATAAAATAAAATATCTAAGACTGCACCAACATTTCTCAATTAAAAGAAATCACAGAACCCGAGTTTTAAAATAATTTCAATTATCAAGATGTTTTAACATACTTTTGTAACAACAATATTAATTAGTATCACCACAAATCAAAGTTGTAAGCCAAATGCAATCTGAATCCCTTGTGTGTTGTTTACTTAATCTATTTGTAAAAAAAACCATTGTGGATATACTTTTCATAGACTAAAACGAGTGAAATTTCTCTCTCTTTAAGTACACACTTTTCTATAGCTGCAAGTCCAGCACAAGAACAGATAATTCATTATAACAAAAATTATATTCTAAAAATCTATGCCCTCACAAGTAAGATTTTTATTAGAAGATTTATCAATTACAATTATTTAACAAATGAACATATTTTCCTAAAATTTTTAATTACATGTTGCATACATATTTTCAGTAAAATTATTAATTTGGTCAATCCTCATAGATGACAATTTTCACTTTGCAGATGGATTTATTCTGAACTAAACAATGTTATAAGATAATATCAGTCATTTGCTTCAGCTTATTTTTATGTAAATCTAGCAGCTAGTGATCCATCATATGATGTGAAATGCTTATAAATAAACATTTGGTAGAGCTGGATTTTACTTTTTTACAGCTTATGACGCTTCAGTACGAAATATCATCATAAATACAGTAATGGAAGCCTGGCACTTATGTAGCATGCTTAAATTCAAATTGTTGACAAGTTTCTGAGATATTCATGGCCATTCCTCTGAAAAAGCCATTTTAAGGACATCTTTAATGTCTAGAGTCACTTGATAGGATATAATGTATTTCTCAAGAATATTCTATATATATATGCTCAACAGAAATGAAGTCCATTAAGTGTTCAGACAACTCAAATTGGCCAATCTTCCTCTTCTTTAAAGAGTGCGTTGGTTAAGTTAGAATGACAAGGACTGATGTTATTAACCATGAAGCCAAATGTAACTTAATCAGATCATATTCCTTAGAGAGGGTATTCTTAAATTTTCAATTTATCAGCTGGAAATTAGGTCAGCTTTATGAAGTTATCACAGTAAATTAAAGTCTCTAAGCATACTAAAATAAAATGTTTTTCAATAGCTACCAATATTCACATATGATATTAAATCTTTATTCCATGAAGATTTCATCCTTAATTATATATAAAGGTTCAAAACATACCATGGGTAACAAATCCAGAGCCATTCGTATCAAACAGTTGAAATGCAGCTCGATAAAGAGCATCTGGTTGACATAAGAGTCCTTCAAATGCATGGAATTCCGGAAATGATATAAGGCTATAGAAAATGTTAAAATATAGAAATAGACTTAAAATTATGCATTACTACCAATTACATAGCAAAAAAAAAAAAGAAAACATGTAATAAGTTTGATATCAAAATGGCAGTTAAAACCTGTACATTTATATCACTGTAGGTCTATTCAGCTATAAACTGATACCAAAGAAACATATGCATATGAATATATCAAATACTCAGAATTTAATACAGTATCTTACAGATTGTTTGCTAACTAACATATTTTGTTCAATGAGTTGGTTAAAGGTGTGATGATAACATCAAATGTACAAAGCAAATAATATATTGAGTCATTTCATGAACAGTTGTAAATATAATACTCTAAGTTTGCAAGGGATCACTGCTTCTCAGTGTTAATAAATATCAATGTTGATTTTTTTTCAGACCAACATATATGAGTGGTATCAGAGGATTCATTTACCACTTATAATCAGTTACATGAATTACAGACTTTTCCAATAAAGGAATCTTCTATCAAAGGGAAGCCTTGTGCCACATAGTATATTTTTGAATTGAGGTGACTATAGAGAGCTTGGGAAGGCTTAGCCTTCCCCAAAAAATTCTCCCTCACAAGATATTATTCTCACCAACTTAAAAATGTTTTATAGTAATTGTAGAGAGAGAGACAAAGAGAGTAAAAGAGGGTTTATGTGTGTCCCTGAGAAGAATTTATTTATTTAGGAACACAAACTGATTCTTATCAACTGTGTAACCCACACACAAGACAGAATAGCCTACCATGACAAAAAGAATCAAAGCATTGTCTATGTTCAGTTTTGTGCTCTAAAAAATATTTAACACCATTATTGCTTAAGTACATGTCAACAGACATTTAAACCTGAAGAAAGTGTTACATATTCTCAGTATGTTACAAACTGGAGTGTTGATCTCAACATTCTATTGTCGATGCCTTAGGTGTGAGCTAAAGCATTGTTTTCCATGCTTTAAACCAACATAGAATCTATGGAGATGTAAAGGGAAGTCATGTAAGTGGTCACATGAGGGTAACATACCAAAGACAAAATAAGATCCATTTTGGACAGAAAAGAAACTTTGTTGTGACTTATAACACGTGTTTGAAGTGCTTGCATTGGTCCAAACTGTCTGAAAGGAAGTTGGTTTGTGGTCATGGGAAATTTGTACTAGGATTCCATTAGCAGAGCATTACAAGGAAGAACATCCAGACTGGATCAAGATCAGTTGGCTTCAACAATTCTAGATGGGATGCCAATGGTCTCATCAGAGATGAATCCAGGTTTGGTCTTAACCTCACATTGTAACTATTGGTTCCTGTTTCATAGAGTATGAAAAGCCAGTTGATGATGTGTGCTTTTACTTTGAATTTTCATAAAGCATTTGATATTATGTCTCAATGGAGATTAATTGGATACTTACGGATCTGGTGAAAAAGTTGAAAAGAAAACAGAGTTGGCATGGTAGTGAAAAGCAAATAATGATGATAAATGAGCATTTATATAAATTGCAGAATCTGACTAAAGAAGTTTGTCAAGGTACTGTTTTAGAACACTTATTATTCAATTAATAATCATGTCAATAATTTGGATAGCTTCTTGGATAGTAATATGTACAATTTGCTGATTATGCTAAACTGTTAAGAAGAGCTTTTTTATTAATATTTTTCTTATCTGAAAACACCTTAAAGGTTTGAATTGGGTGGTTTATTTGAGTAACGAAATGAAAAGGTTGGAAATAAAAACCTGAGTATTATAAAACTTAGACAAAGACTTGTCCTTTTGCAAAATTATTTGTTGGTTAAGAGCTGTACATGGTTTTGTCTGATGATAAGGAGATAATGCTGTTAGTTTTATTTTTTTTCAAATACTTATTAGATATTGCACGTGAAATGTTACTTTTGTTTTTCATGGTTTGGTTGAGTGTTATAGCAAGCAAAAAATTTCCACAATGGGCTGAATAACCTTTTACATCCTGATCTTTCTACATTCTAAGCAAATTAATATTATTCAAGGTTATATTCTTAAAACTTCAATCTTAGTTTTTAAAATGATCAACTATTTACAATAAATAAAAACTGAAATAACAAACTATTTTCAGTTGAATTCTTGAGCAGAAAGTTGTTAACTTTACATGATTTATTGACTGCTTTCATTAAATAAGTAACAAGCATAGTGCAAAATAACTTGTACACTGCCTAGTACTTTAGTATAACATAATACTTTTAATGACATCAACTGCTTCTCCAATATAATGATGAATAACAAACTATCTAATAAACTTTGAATTCACATTAGAAGAATGAAGAATATTGAATAGTAACAATTAACATAGAATAAAGCAAATTAAAAATATTTTCGCTAAAGCTATATTTATAAAAGCTTAAAATGTTTCCAAGAAACAAGATATAGCTCAATCAATTATAGATATAATATTAACAATATTTATCAATACGGTTAGAACAAATGAACAGAAACCTTAGCTTTAAAGTACAATAGTTAATTATAAAAGAAAAGCTTTATAACAAGAACCACACTTACCCATCTTTAGAGGTATCAAGAATGTTACCTAAAAGCTGGACAGTAGTAGGATTATAGTTTGGTTCTTTATATAATCCCAGGAACCCTTGAACGAAGTCAACAGGGGTCATAAAATGTTCTCCATTTTTTTCAATGCTTGCGTACTGAAAAGATTGACAGATAATTTTCAAAACATTACAAAATAATTCAGCTGGAAAAAAAAATCATAAAAACATTTCATTTATTCTTCAAGTGAAGAAGGTCCTGAACTATCAAGGTGTTAACCAGAAGGGAAATCTAGCTTTATGTATCACTATATTCACACTGATTAAGAATTTCTTTTATACATGAATCACAAAAGGTGTACGAGTCATCTTTCCACAGAAAATTTATTTGTAACTATTGAAATTTCCCACAATTTAAAATATGATACATTTACTAGATGTGGGAATTTAATTAACAGCAAACAACATAACAAACCAAATATTGGATTTTTTAAAATTAATCACACTCTTTTGAGCTTAAATATATTTCTATACTCTTTCTTAACTCTTCATTTCTTAACAATGTTTTAAATGTAACTTGCATTCATACATTATTTAAGTAATTATCTCATAAAGAGGACTTCAGGTGACCTTTGAAGATGTGAGCCTGTATGGGTAATCACAAACATACACTTGCCCAAGTATTTTATAGATATATACACATGTACATAACATTCCCCATAGGTATAAAGAGGTTGGTGGTTTAAACATCTACATTGTGACATGCACATGCTTTTTAAGAAGACATAACCTGATACCAAAGTTCAGAATATGAACTTGAAATAATACCAATTTATAGTGCCATGAAATTAACTTTTGTTGGAATTACATGTATGCCATTTCACACAAAATTTTCACAAATGCAGCAAAGTACAAAAATAAAATGAGCTAGAAATTAATAGTTGTTAGAATAGTTCAACTTATTATTTTTTACTCTTAACACTAAACAAGTACCATACATGTTCTTTAGCTGAATCTCATTATACTGTTTTAGTTCAATGTTTAAACTGAATACAAAGTTTGAAATAACTGTACTATTTTGATAAGTGAAGGGCTTATAGATTGAAACTTGTATATGGTAATTAGCCCAAAAAACAAAACAAAATGAAGTGTTTGGTAATGTTTTCTTTAGAAACAGGGGTATGGTCTCATATATGTCAAAAAAACGAGACAATTTCATAAGATATTCAACAGAGTTCTAAACTTCTTGTACATTAGGCCCAGTTAAAGATAATTTAGTTTTGCACAAACAGAAATACATGTGATTGAACTTCTAAAAATAGCTGAACATTTAGCATATCTTTAACCTTAGAATATTCTACATGTATATTAAATCTTGTCTTTTACTTCTAATATATTGAAGCAATGTTGTCTATTAGTCAATAAAATTGCATACAACGGGTTTATTCTTTCAGTACTGGAGTTATACTTAAACATTAAGTAATAATATATTTTAACATCAGATAAACATAACTAATTTTGTTAAGATACATAACGTTATTAATATTCAAGCTATTAAGATTCAATGGCAAGTATTAAAAACTAATGATTTTTAAGTTTACACCATAAGCCTTTAAAAAATGGATAAGTAACAGCTTTAAATTTGTTTGAAAATTTTCAAAAAATATACTGATGGATAACAGACTGCATAAGATATACTATATCCTTACCATGCCATAATCGTAAGATGGCAATGTACAGTTTTTGCAAACCTATATTTTAATTAGTGTGTACTATCTACATCAATTATTTTTGATATAGTTAAAAAAAAATATGTAGTTATTAACAAACCTGACATTAAATATAAGTGCATATGATCACAGGTTTATTAAATCATCTTTTATTTTGATAGCTCATAATAAAGAAAGAGCGAACAAAAATTAGCACATGCTTTCTATACATTACATAATATCCTAGACTGTAGTTCACCCATAAATATATATTGGCTGGCTCCAATACTAACCACAGACACTCTTTGTCTTACACACAGTATTGGGTTACAGTTTTTCAGACACATGAAAAAAGTTATGACTGCACCTATGACTCATAGCCAGGGAAATCCTTTCTGGAAGTGAATGCTGCTGGAAACAGCACAAATCTAAATAACTACCATTACCGAGTCTTTTAAGACTGAAACAGTGTATGTGCCAAATGTTGGTACGTTCAGTGTTGCTGCATTGATTCTAGTATGCTTTGCCATTTCCACACACATAGTTTGGTAAAACTAACTAATGCTCCTTTAAGTATTAAATCTGTATTCTACAGAGAACCATTTTAAATCAGGTTATGTCATTTCCCTATACCTAGTTTGTTAAAGCATAACTTTGGAGAATAATACTAATTACCATGGTGTACTTGCCAAAGTTTTGCTATTTATCATAATAGATTACATATTACAGATCATATAAAGCTATTAAAACCATATTTCCATCTCACTTTATTCATTTATTGTATCATAAGGGCCATTTTAGATTTTTAATAGCACTCATCTTTAGAATATTGATGAAAAATGTGAAAATAAAACAAAAACTATCTAATACTTTTCAAAAAGAGCAAAGTTTTAGGTGATGGAAGAATGCAAGTTACTTGAGTAAAACAAATAAACTATAGTACTGCTCACCTTTATATGTTTGTTTAAAGGGATTTAAAATACTTTTTAACACAGAACTAATTTTGCATGACTAACTTAAATACCGTTAAAATGACTGCAGCTTCATATTTCAGGTGGCTTTATTTCAATTACAAATTTTTCATAAAGTATTTATCAGTATTTTCATGTGGAAATTCACTGATCACAAACTGAATATCCC